AAGAGTCTTTGCAGTCTAAACTGACAAATAAAATAAATGATTTGACATGTGTAAATGGCATAGCCAACTTAGATACATTGGAACCTTAAATTAAATATCACCAAATGGTGCACAGAACGACTATTTGACGTATTCTGTAAAAAGACAAAAGCTTTTAACATCTTAATACCATTCGATAGGTAGTTAAAAATTTCATTTTCTGGTAAGTTAAAAAATATGGGGTTGTATTTAAATTAATCAAGTTAGTTCTTATTTGATTAGTTTAAATTTGTGGACACCCTGTATAACATGGTAACTTTATTATCATTGGGATATAAAGTATTTGACACGTGAAAATTAGATTAGATTTTGATTAAATTCGTATTATTTAAAAAACCTTAAGATTTAGGTATTATAAACCTTTTTAAAACAGACACTTATTTTGTTCAGCGAATCCAAAAATGCAATAATATACAGGACAATCCATTTAAAACAACGCAACTTTGATACCTGTAGAGCCTTTGGGATACCCTGTACATTACAAAAAATATTTTAAAATATGCGCTCGGTAGGCGTCGGACAATTCATAAAATAATACTTTTTAAAAATCAAACCGCAAACTTCCGTGCCGTATAGCGTGAATAACCCTGTATATAAATAATCTTTGTTTCCTACAGAAAAAGGCTATCGACCCAATCGCTCTTTCTGCCCTTTTTTCAAATAATTGTATATCAATTACAAATTCCATAAAAATTGTCTCTTCGGTCAGATAATTTAAATTCTAACTTTCGTTGTGACCGAGATGTAGATTCACCAACGCTTTGCAATTCAAGTTATTTAAATGACAAATTTGAAAACCGAGTGATTCTTTGGACGAATTTATATCGTTATCGGGCTGTTCGTTTTCCAGATTCAACTCTTGTTGACTTTTTTCTTCGTAGTCAAATAAATTATTTCTATACAGACAAAGTTTTTCTTCGTAGTTAAATGTTCTATACAGACAAAGTTAATAATAAAAAGTTTTTCATATATTGCCAACTTAAGTAGACAATTTGTATATTATAAAACAAGTGTTAATATGGGTTAATAATTTTTTAATTTTGAGTCATTGCGATGGTGTTATTTAAAATGGCAATTAACAGTTCAAAACGCAGGATCCCCATCTTGCTCAATTAAATTTCTAAAAATTAATTTTAATTGATCAAACGATTACTGACATATTTCTTAGTAATATAAAAATTCCCCTGCGACTTGAAGAGAAAAAAACATTAACAAAGTGAAAATCCTATCAAAGAATAAATTAATACAATGATTAAAAAGGAAAAGGAAAAAGAACGAAGTTTCCCGACATATCCCCGACCAGATTGCAATTACGGAGACTAAACCGTTTTGAAGATACATGCTTCGGAATACAAGATTCTGTCGAAGACACAATACCAAATTAGAGCAAAAGAGCACAGCATCAAGAGTACATCAAATGCAAGCAAAACGTATTAATTAGACAATTAATTATTTGCAATTAAATCTACTCAAAGCGGCTGTAAATTTAAGAGAGAAACTATTATACCGGCAACAAAACAATGCGTGTTTAAATGCAAATTGGTGTCAGTAAGATGGAGTATCGCAGTTAGAAACTTCCATGAGACTTTGCCGGAAAGGATGATTGGTAAAATTGCTAAAAGCGGCTGCTCAATTCCATATGTAGATGTAAGATGATTTGAAAAATCGCATATTTCAAAACCGATTTATTTTTTATATTATTATTTTTTTAAACCGATTTTTGTGGCCATTTAATAGAAAAAATCATGTTCGATTATTCCTGCAAATGTTGATTCAAGCACTAAATTTCTTGATTTTCTTTCTTTATTTCAATTTTTGGTTTGATCCATTTTCATTTTTCAACTTCTGAAATCTCACTGCGCCGGAAAACTTATTACGTATCATCAAACTCGGGAGACAAGGTGAAAGGCGGATGTTTTAAGAAAAAATTTTCATTTTCAAATTGACCGTTTATTTCATATTCGGTCGTCACAACATTTTTAGCGTGACTGAAAACCTTAATTTTTGAATATTTCCGGCAAGGTTAGATAGTTCATGGAGATTATTATAACTCGACTGAAGATCGATGGCTGATCACTAACCATGCAATAAAAACACGGAAGATTTAAAACGAGACTATTTTCGAATGGGTTCGATTTAAATACAAAAAAAACCAGAACAGACGGTTAAAAACACCAATGTTGCTGTTTTAGTTGCAAAATTGGTCCAAGAAGTGAAAATTTGAAAAAGTGACGATACGTTTGTAAAAAACAGAACACTTAGCCTCTTACAATTTAATATGGTCATAGACTGGCAAGTGTAAATTTGTTGTTAAACAAAATAAGACGTTCTAAATGTTAGATTTGTAAAGAAATAAGCAGGGATGACAGCACTCGCTATTCTCCTTCAAAAAACCTTTAAAAATGCCTAGATATTTTTAATTAGTACAAATTTAGTTTTTAGTTAAATAAAGCATGTTATAAATTAATAAATTAACTGTTTAAATATGAAAAAGGAATTTAGTAAGTATTAATAGTTTGTTTCTAAGAATTTTCGGACTTTTGAATTTAAGTTATGCAGTATTGAATTTGCTACTCAGTGCAAAGACTGTATGAAGATGTTCAAATGTTACTTAGAACGAAATTAGGAACGTGAAGAAACGGATTTTTAGGTCGATTTGTAAGGGAAAAGTCTATTCTATTAATATCGGGAATTTGGGCTGTTGAATTATTTATGAGAACTTGCCAAGCTACTTTTCCCCCTTGGATATGCATTCGAAGGCATATCATTTAAAATGCTGGTACTACGAGACAGTGTGTTACCACAACGCAGAAAATTACATAAAAACTCGCAGGAATTTTAACCGGCGTTTCTTTATAGCATCTGTTTCTGTTATTGGCACAATAAATAATATGAATTATGAATCTGATTAGGATTATTATGCTTAACTGGTATAAACTTGTTGTTTGGAACATTCAAGAATTGTAAATGCTGGCAATTTTTCAAGTCATTGCCAAACTCGCGCTTAGAGGTAACTGTTTTGGCAATTTTGAGCAGAAGATGGATTGGATTGTAATCTGCAAGCTGAACCCTACTGAGATGCCTTGCTTATTTTGTCCCTGGATGTGATCGGAATTAGGAGAAACTTAATTTTATTTCACGTGTATTAATAAAATGTTGCTGTTATTTCGTCAGGTAGAAAAGCAGATTGTTCTCAAATATAAGCTGGCGTTTTTGGTGCCATAAATATGTGTGTAAATATTATGGACTATAAAAAAGTCCATTGAATGGGCATGTTGTTGCTGAAATGGACCTGCCGAATACGCACCTCCTGAATTCTCGCCAAATCATAGATGACGAGCGCGTAATTTCTAAACAAAGTTAATCCTCTAATCAGTCTTAAATTGGGAAACATTTTTCCTAGCGAGGTGAAATGTTTCAGCTGAAACAGCAGCAAGTGTCCACTAATTTTCTGCAACTCCGGAAAAACATAGTCGTCGTAATCGGACTCACTTTCCGTGTTGAGAAGGAGCACTATATACAAATCGCCACTGATTTCTGTGCAATTTCTCAATTTGTTCAAATTGGCCACATTATTTCGCACATCAATCGACTGGCAAATTTTGGTGGTACCCTGTGGAACCATCGTAAGCACCCAAAATAACGTTGCACGGAATAAAAGGTGCTTGTCCATTAACATGGACATTGTAGCGGCTATCTAGTTTTTACGTTTATCGTCAATCTCCCCGGTATTTTCTCATTCGTCGCTCGATTCATGTTGTGCTCACGATCACGCGTTTCACGCTGAACTGGCGGCAGGACTCGCAGGAAACCGAGAAATAAAGCAGAATTACCGAAACCGCGACAACCGTAAGGCGGAGAGTGTTTAACGTAAAACAAACTTGTGCGCTGTTTGTGTACATTTTTGAACGAGCCCAAATTCTGAGCAGGTTAGTAGACTCTTGTTGTGTAATGAAAGTTTCGAGGACAACAACCGACGTATTTGGGGGCTTCACGGTTCCGCTTTCCTGTTAATTCTCGGTCGATTTTTATTATCCAAAACGTGTCACTATCCCCGGGAGGTCGTACTCAATGACGAAACTAAGTATATTTAATGAAAGATAACATTAGACTATACGGGGGTTTGTTGGTGATGATTTAAACCTCTCTTTCAACTTCTCTTACGCCGGCATCACACTACCCACTTTTACCCGACTTATTGGTCAATAAATTGGGCTAGTTATTGAACGGCCATCTACTTGGCCATCCATCGACTTTACACTTGGATATTGTTCTCACAACAAATTGGTGCAATTCACCAACATCAATTTCAATGCTTTAGTTCTGCTGGTGTGTGTTGCGACAAATGTTCGTTATTAATTCGCTAAACTCATTGCAAACAACCCAGATTTTTAACGTTTGAAATACATTAAGAAGACAAAAATAATTTAGCCTTCTTTTTTAATTTATTTCTAATATTATTATAATAAGAAATTTTTGTAAATTTAAATAAGACATTTCCATTGATTAGTTTACGCCATTATTGCGTAATTACGGATTTTATGTGAAAATTGCTTGGGCAAATTTGAACTTTGCACTTTGCACTGCTAACATCGCAAGCACTGGTTCTAACTTCTAACCCATAACCTAACTATTTGAATTTGAATTTTTATTTAATATGTTCGGAATATATTCCTTCTGAAACCTAAAATTGATAAGGCGATCTCTGAGTTCAATATTTTCTAAATTAAAAAAGCTCTTCGATTTGCAATAACAGGTCCCAGGTAGCAAAATATATTCGTACAATATTGG